CCATAAAGATTACAGCCTTGAAACTAAGCAGGCAGTTCTAATCTGTCCTATAGGTTGGCTATGAGTTGGGATCAGTGGCAGTGGGTTTGGTGGGGTTTTTGTTGTTTTTGTTGTGAGAATATCTTTGTTAATTTGCTCTTTGCCTACTGTGCTAAAATGTGAACTCCTAGAGGGCATTGTCTTTTTTTTTTTTTTTCTTCACTGTTACAGCTCTGGTGTCTATGAAAATGCCAGCACATAGTTGTTGTTGTTGTTAGCCGCCATCAAGTCAGCTCTGACTCATAGCAACCCAGTGTACAACAGAACAAAACACTTCCTGGTCCTGTGCCAGCCTCACAATCCTTGCTATACCTGAGCACATCATTGCAGCCACTGTGTCAATGCATCTTATTGAGGGCCTTCCTCTTTTTCACTGACCCTCCACTTTGCCAAGCATGATATCTTTCTCCAGGGATTGGTCTCTTCTGACAACATGACTGAAGTAGGTGAGGTGAAGTCTAGTCATTCTCGCTTCCAAGGAGAATTCCAGCTGCACTTCTTCCAGGACAGATTTGTTCACTCTTCTGGCAGTACACAGTACTTTCAGTATTCTTCACCAACACCACAACTCAAAAGCATCAACTCTTCTTTTGTCTTCCTTATTCATTGTCCAGCTTTCACATACATGTGAGACTATTGAAAATACTATGCCTTGGGTTAGGGACACCTTAGTCTTCAAAGAGACATCTTTGCTTTTCAGCAATTTTAAGGGGTCTTTTGCAGTAGATGTGTGTTGCTGTGAGGCTGGAGGCTAAGCCACCAGTATTTAAAATACCAGCAGGGTCACCCATGGCGGACAGGTTTCATCAGAGCTTTCAGACTAAGACAGACTCGAAAGAAAGAAGGGGCCATCCACTTCTCAAAGAATTGGCCAGTGACTTATGTTTTATTGACTATGCAAAGGCACATAGTAGGCACTCAATAAGTAATTGTTGGATGGATGAGGAAGTGCTATAAGCCAATAAACCTATGCATTTCTGAAAAGAAGAAGAGAGGAGGAGAAATGTTTCGATAGGGGGAACATATGAGTTCCATTTTGAATATGTTCAGGTTGGCATGATATGTGGTATCCATAGGGTATTTTATTTACGGGCAGGAACTCAGGACAGGCTATGTTATAGAAATGAGGATTTGAAAGCCATCAATCAAGCAGAGAGATTTGTTGAT